ACATAGAGGGAAGGGAATGACAGAAACAGAGAAAGACTGACCTAGAATCAGATTCAGGGACACAGGAAACTGGAAGTCTTTGGTCTTCATTGTTAACCATGGAAGCAGAAAGGAGGAATCAGCAGAGTAAGCAAAAAAAGGGGAGAGTTCACAGCAGCCTCTTGCCTGAGAGATACCCAGACGCTGGGACTCTGACCTCTACTGTGGGTGAGTGAATCTCTGGGGTGTGACTTGGGTAGCAGATGCTGGGTTCAGTACCCAGGTTCTTATGGGACAGTGATTCACCATGAAGAAGGTTTTAGAGGAGAAATAAAAACTAGAATCCTAGAATGTTAAAACTGTGGAAAACCTTAGAGGCATCTAGCAATACAACTCCTTCACTTTACAGACTGGGGAACTGATGTCGTGGCATTGAGTGATCTGCTGAATAGCACACATCAGGTAAGGGCCGAGGCAGAGGTGAAATGTCAGTCTCCTCACTCCCAACTTCTACCTAGGACACTGGTGTCTCAGAGGGAAGGAGCTGGAGGGGCCAGGCCTTTGGCTCTGGGGAGATCAGGGGGCCAGTGGATCAACACATGTGTCCCTAAGGTGGGCATCACGCTATGGGGAGCAAGACCCCTGTCCCCATGGGGATGGGTGCCTCAGCCCCAGACATCTTCTTTTCTGAGTGTGTGCCTTCCAGGTGTTTCCTTTCCCTCCCTGGTCTCTCTTCCCCTGCTCTCAGACTAATTAGTGTGGAGGCTTAGTGAGCCTGTGGGGAGGAGAGGCAAGCCTTTCCCACGAGCTCAGGTTCCTGCAGGCTGGTGGAGGGGCCAGGGCAGGGATATGGGGAGAAGATGAAGTATACCTGAGGGCAAGGGTGTATCTGAGTGGAAGAGAGGGTGAATGCCTCACCTTTCCAGGTGGGGTGTATGAGGATGGGAGCAGAATAATGAACGTTGACTGTGAACTGTGAGAGCAGGAAACGAGTAACAGTGGTCTTATATAGAGACCTGGAAAGCTCGTTAGGATGTGAGAGCAAATAGGAGATCCACAGGGTAAGGCTCAGGTGTGTAGTGTGTGTGCTGAAGAGAGGTGAAAGACGGAGGTACCTGGATTACATGGGAATGTGTCTGGGGGAGTATAATAGAGAGTGGGCATACAATGGGGTAGTGAGGGAGAGAGAGTATGAGTGCTAGGGTGTGGAGTGGGTCTGAGGGGTGTACCCTATGTGGAGAGGCGAGCCTGGGCTATGGAACTCAGAGGTGAAGCAGACGCTGAGGCTGAGCTGGGTCCAGGAACAGTGTTTATGGAAGGTAAAGGGTGACCGGCCAGGGCAGAGTGTATGGAAGTGGAGCAGCATGGAGGGGGTGGGGCATGCTGAGCAGAATCTGGGGGACCAGGATATGTGGTACAGGAGCTGGATAAGTGGTCCCACTCCCACACTACCTCTCCTCTTCCCTCCCTCCTCAGAAAGGAGCACTCAGCCCTACAGGAGGCCCTCTGGTGTGGAAGTGGGGAGACCAAGGTTTTCCCAGCAAGGAGGACAGAGGGTTTGCCCACACTCCCGGCGCCGGCATCGCACCACCTTCAGCCCGGTACAGTTGGAGCAGCTGGAGTCAGCCTTTGGGAGGAATCAGTACCCTGATATCTGGGCCCGAGAGGGTCTCGCCCAGGACACAGGCCTCAGTGAAGCCAGGATCCAGGTGATGCCCCAGACTCCCCACCCCACCTCCAGGAAGAAATGCAGGTTCAGTGCTCGGGGACTGCATGGGCATAAACTCTCATGAACATTATAACCCTAACCTAAACATCCACCAGAGTGTAAGCCCCATCTAACTGCCAGTGTAGCCTCATCTGAAGCATGAGTGTCACTGAGTTTAACCTTAAAAAAAAACCTCATTGCATGGAGTCAGTTCCCACTGATAGCTACCATATAAGACAGAATAGAATTGCCCCATATGGTTTCCAAAGAGCAGCTGGTGGATTCGAACTGCCAACCTTTTGGTTAGCAGCCGAGCTCTTTAACCAGTGTGCCACCACAGACCCAAGTTTAACCTTAAGTCTAACCTAATCTCATTTGAATTTTTTAACAACTAACAGTGATCTGAATTGTAACAGGATTCAATCCTAACTGTTCACATAGGTATATAACTTTGACCCTAACGATAGCCTTGAAACTGAACCAGCCCGATGGTTCTAACCGTAAAGTTAATTAACCTTAAATATAAACCCTATCCTAAATTTAACCTTGTCTATAACCATTAAACTCTAGCCTAATCTCTACGCCTAACCCTAGGGGAAATGTTCTCTGGGGAGGGAAAATGCTAGCATGTTGTGTTTATACCTTTCTTGTTGGAAGTTGACATTTCTTACTCATCCAAATTTGTAGAAATTGGGCATATTTACATGCAGGCAGGGAGTGAGGTGGAGGGTCTCCCTGTGTCAGTAGGCCTGGCTCAGCCATACCACCTGGACAAGTTTTACTTCCTCTGGCCAAGTGAAAAAGCTTACTCCCTGCACTATACACTCTTTCACTGGGGGGAGGGGGTTGCATGTGACAGTGCCACCTAGCTAAGAGAGAGGTTTTGACATGGCTATTCTCCTGCTCCTCAGGTCTGGTTCCAGAACCGCAGAGCTAAGCAGCGGAAGCAAGAGCGGTCACTGCTCCAGCCATTGGCCCATCTGTCTCCTGCCACCTTCTCTAGTTTCTTGCCTGAGTCCTCTGCTTGCACCTACTCCTACCCAACACCACCTCCACCAGTAGCCTGCTTCCCTCATCCCTATAACCAGGCCCTTCCTGCCCAGCCCACCACAGGTGCTTCCTTTGCTCTACCACGCCAGTCCGAGGACTGGTACCCCACCTTGCACCCAACTCCCACTGGTCATTTGTCCTGCCCCCCACCCCCACCCATGCTTCCCCTAACTCTTGAGCCACCAAAGTCCTGGAACTAAGATCAAACAAGCACTGATAAGGTGATTCCCAGCCTGTGGCCCTCATGAAACACAGAGAAAACCAGATGGCTTCCTTTCCTTCTAGGGTGGAGTAGAAATACAGTAAGGGGCAGCTCAGAGATTAGGAATTAAAAATTGGGAGATCATGATGAAGGTTCACCAAGATGATTAACTGAGAGAATTTGGGGAGATGGATTACTGGAGGATATGAGTAAAAAGTCTCAATGGAGGAGACTGGTGGAAGGGTGTTATGAATGGAGGCGGTTGTTGCTGCTGGTGAAAGACGATTGAAGGA